TTTCTTAATCAACGTCAAAGCGATGACTGTGTCTCAGACCAAGTTATGAAACCCAAATCCTGAAGTTCCTGTTGCTGCAAAACTCCCACTTGAAACATGCAAATCAGATGCAGTTCATGGACTCCTGGCAGATTGTCAGGGCAGTGTCCTTAAGTTTCTGATGTTTTGCTAAACTGTATTAAGTAGTTCTGTAATTTAAAATTCAGGAAAAACAGAGGACACTGCATTTTCACTTACAATCGGATTTGTTGTCTCTGCCTTATATAACTAAAATAGGGTGGGCTTAAGTAGCAATAGATTAAGCAATAATGATGCCAGCATTTTCTTTTTCTGAGGCTTTAGCCAAGCTAAGGATGCAATGCTAATCTAGAGTAATTTCTCTTTTTCCTTAAATAATATTTTTATTGAGCAAGAAGCGGATGCCAGAATGGGCTTTGATCAGCTAAAAACAACAGTGTCTCTAAGGGAATCTTTCCTGTTTATTGTATGCTGCTGCATTTGAAAAATGCTAGCCTACAGTAGAGCTAGACTCCTTAGCATACAAGAAGCAGGGCAAAACAGGATGAGGCCAAAATGGGAACTGTATATCACAGGAACTCGGAAAGGCAGGAAGTAACAAAAGAAGTAGAAATTCTTGATTAAAAGTATAATTGTACCAGCTTGTGCAAGAGGATAATGACTTTCAAATGTCAGCCTTTGTGCCTGTTCATAATGATAAAGCTATTAAACCATGTGTACTGTTCTTAATTCCATTTCTCATGGCAAGTCATTTAGGATCTGCAACTATTCTGTCCACTAAAATCTAAAGCATTTCTTCGGCAGTATATTCAAACAGGAGATTAAAAGGAGTGCTAACTAGAGCAGTGCCAGCCAGGGCTGCTGCGCAGTAGTTTAAAACGTGTCGGAGATTCTGTTTCAAGGATTTAAATATCAGCCATAAAAATTCACTCCCAGGGTAAAAGTCGGCCAAGGAGTGAATATTTAAACCTAATTTGTTAAAATAAAAAGACATAATTTTTGTAGTTTGGAAGTTTTATGTGTAAAAAGGAATAAGGTCTTAAAACATATTTGGCAGATCTGTAACTGAAAAGTAAATCTATTTTAAAAATTAACTCAAGAAGAAATTAGCACTTAAAGCAGTCAATGGTGTTGTTATTTCAGAAAATTAGTTATAGCAAAGATAGTCACCAACAAGTTACCAAGTTTTACAGTCACTGCTGTGGAGTTGAGCTTGGTCCAGCTCTGCATCACTAGTGGAAAAAAACCCATTTGCTTCAGTGGTAATTAGATCAAATGCTAGCTTCCTCATTGGGAAGTTAGATTCTGGAAGAAAAAGTAAGAGCTCAGTTTTGCAATCGCACCACTTGGTAAAATGTTTACCTATAATGTCAGTAAAGTTGCCTTCAAAGACAGGAAGACAAACTTTGTGCTGCTGTCACCATGGGTGCTTTAGCCTTCCCCAGCATTTTGGTCAGTGTCAGTGCTCCTGATCCCAGGCCGTGGGATGGTGTTGCTTCCAGACTGAAGCTGGTAATAACATGTTTTATAATTATAGGCATATGCCAACAGAAAAGCTATAGAAAAAATTGTCATTACCAGATGGTTCAATGTTTCAGGGGGTAAGATGTTAGCAGAGAATTCTGCAGCAGCTTCCTCAAGTCCTACCCAGCAGGTGATATTTATGGACTGTTTACAACATTTTCACATATGGCATTCTAAAGAGGTTTGTAACTTTTATACTCTGCCATCCAGTTTATTTATTTTACAAAAATCCCACTCCAAAGGTCAGCTATGTTCTGTCTGTCTCAGCAACTCGAGGCCTAGGGAAAAATTCTGAACATAGTCTCAGCATGGAGTAGTTAAACAAATGTGCTTTTAAACATGGTAGAGATGGTTTTGTGTCTTGTTCTCATATATCTTAGACCCTGTGTCTCTTGGCTTTAGGCATCATTTAAATGAGATCACTGTTTAGCACCTCTTTCACATTCAAATGATATTTTTGTGTTCTTTTGTGTGGAAATGTCTCTATATTTTCAACACTGCTCAGTTCAGTTCATGTGAAAGCAGACAAGAACAAACCAAGGAGACAAAGACTATGTCAAAGTGGGTGAATAATACCGAAGTGATCATGATGCATCTATTCTTTTCAAAATCTTCAGCAGAAACCCTCCTTTCCTTTTCCAGCTTCCAAGCAACTCAAGGAAGCTCATTTCAAACCCTTCCAGCCTGACACTCTGCTCTCGGTGTTGGGTTTCCATCTCTGAGCCTTCTCCTCTGCTCCATCTGATTCAGGCATGGCGGCCAAACCCAGCACTGACTTCCCTCCTTACCTGACAGAAAAACAGAAATGCCTTCTCTTTTTCTTACCACATCTTATCCATTTACCTGAATAGATCCCATGCTAAGTAAGGAATTGCAGGTGAAATTCAAGTAACGCAAATGCCGATACTCTTGTCTGGACAATTCATTTTGCAGGTGCAAAACGGGCTTGCACACAGGGAAGCCACAGATCAGCTTTTTGATTGGAATCCTAAACGTCACTATAGCTGGGAGCTATTAGTACCTCAGAGTTGTATTTACTGTAGAAGAGTGGTGATAAAATTTCAACAATTGATTGAATAGTTGAATCGCTGATTCACAAAAGCAATATGATTACAGGGCAACTATTATTTATACAATGTCTGATTTGTGATATATGTGTATAATCAATTGCAAATTATGTGCTTTTCAAACATCTGCTGTAGTTTATTATGAGTCTATTAGAGGATATCTAATATCCACTAAGAAATTATGTGTAAGAAATCCATCACCTCTTTTCTGGCAGGAGGGCCTTGTAATTCAAACAGAGGCTGTCTATCTTCTTCGTTACATCAACCCTCTGGATTTGAGGGTCTGAGGCTTTCTGCT